AACAAATGCTGAGGAGACAACTAAGTGACATAATGCGCCAGCCAGATTCTAAGTGCAGCCCGAATGGGGAGAGATGAGTTGAATTTCTGAGAATGATATGGAGGAGATCATGCAGGAAGAGATGAGAGTTTATGGTGAGTCATTGAAATAATTAAAAACGACTGCATAGAACAATATGAAGACGTATGTTTCATGTGGAATCTAAGCAAATATTAGTATTAAAAACCCCATTTATTGGTAAAACTTCTAGAGGATAATATGTTCAAGAAGGTTCCAGCATTGTTCTGCTTACAACCGAAGCAAACATATAGCTAAGTGAACCAATCACTTTGAACGAGACGGCATTTACTTCTCAGTGACAAAAAATACCAGCAATTAATTTTACAACGACGGTATTCGGTAGCTGTCTGTCGTATTGCATTCTGCTACGTCACGAATGAACCTGTGAATATGTAAACATATCTGGAAATTACAGAAATTATTGGTATAAAAAATGTTTGAAATTTAAGGTTTCAGACAGATTTATTAGTTTCTCATTTCTGCAGCTCTTCGTTACGTTTAAAACTAAGATTTTATTCTATAATATAAACAATAAACAGTTCAATGAAAATAGCAAAGAATTCACTGATTATCATCAGATAGTATGCGCATAATTGTCACACATAACTGAAGTCATCACCAAACAGACGACTAATACAAAACAATTAGTTCCCTTTATGAATGTAGACAGAGCAATAAGAATACATAATTTGCCTGGATCGTATAATGTATTAGCGCAACAAGAGCCGCTCTCCAACTCACCGCTAAGAAAGACCTGTACATCAAGTCAGCCTATAAGGGTGATTCCACCAACTTGACAATTGGACGAAGATTGAAGTCTGAGTTTAAAAAGACATTCCATACAGCTAAGATTATAATAATTGAGAATGTGAAGCCGATATTTCCATTTAAGCTCTTAGAACATGGGAAAAAAGATGTCACATCCCACCAGTGCATGTGGCCAAACATGCATAAGAAGGAATCATGGATCTCTCGAAGTAAGAGCCTCAGAGCATTTTCCCTAATGGCTTCAGAAGTAAATAGAATTCCCAGAACCCATTAATAGTGGGAACAGGAGACCTAACTCCTCTTTTGCCAAGCATATAATAGAGACAGGACATAAGATTTATGTTTACACGAATTTTAAAACTATCTATAAAACGTGTTTAGGGCGTATCCTTAAGTGTGTGTGGGCCCTAGCTAGAAATTAGAAAGTTTAGACCACCTTTATGGATTTAAAAACAATTCTTCATCACATTAAACCTTCCTTGTTAAACTTTTTTTCGATACCAGGTTAGATACACTGTTATCTCTCTTACTTGGTTTAGTGATCTTCATTGTTATTTTGACCTTCAATATGTCCTTTTAACTTGATCTAAATTTATTTTCACACCTCTTAACTCTTTACTAATTTCACATACATCCCTGTGAAAAGTCTGTGTGTGTGATCAGACTGCTCGAAATAAGTGTCGCGTAAAATACACATTACGCGATTCAGGAGAATTACGTCTTCTTATTACTTTGTCTAGACGACTGATTCTGTTCAGACGACTTAACAGAAAATATATGAGATAGTTAGAGGCAATCGGCAGAAAGTTTTGGATCATATCCCTTCTGAGATTCGAACCCGCGTCACCCAGTGCTGCGGTGAGAGACGTTAACACTGAGCTATTCAAGTTCAAATAGGATGTCACTGCCCGGATCCGAACCCGGGCTAATGCGGCCACAACGCTATGTCCTAACCACTAGACCACAGCGACAATGAGGTGTCTCTGCGTACTGATGAAGAGTCCCAAACTAGGATGAAACAGCTGTCCAGTACTCCCAGGTTCTCCAGTGGTTCTTTAACTGATGTCAGCTCATGATTAAATCCTCCATGCAATCAAACAAAACCCCTACAAAACCAATACTTGAGAAAATATATATAAAATATATGCATTATGTGTAGACTACAACGCATAACCTTAACGATATTATAAAGAGATGAATGAAAAGTGTATACTGGAAGTCTGAATCATTAACTGCTCAGACAAGAAGCGAATACCTAGCGAAATTTAATTCAATACAAATAAATTAGTTCTATGTCTAAGATTAAGAATGGTAAGAAAGTCATTCACTGCTCTTTTATTGCGGATTGCTTTCATCATATACCACTGACATTTGTTTAAACTTCAGTTTTCTATCTAGCCCATCCTAAGTGAGCTCAACATTTTTTCTAACAAATAACAATTCTACCTAACTCACTTATGGAAATGTCTACATTGTTATGCAGTTCAGATTGTGCTCACTGAAATTAATTCCAATTAATTAATTCAATATACTCGTATTGGTTAAGAAATAATTGTTATTGACAGTATTAGTATTTCCTAGTAATATCTGATCATAGAGATCAGAAATCTAGGTTGCGAGTGTGTAAACAAATAAGAGCACAACAACCATAGAAGAGACTCTTTTCAACTCATCTGTTATCAAGCTGTACAATCGTATATAAGTATATACATTTATATAGTTTTCAAAACAAAAACTATATTTAGTGAAAGAATTTAAACAAAAGGTGTGAATACTTATGACAATAATACGAAATGCGATTAAATATGGGGTATTCTAATGTTAGATAAGTAAGTATCAAGCGATAAAACAAATGAAGTCATTTATAGAATAATTTATAGAATTTATAGATAGATCTTGGAAAGGGCTGTAAAACTAAAAGGATTAATAGGAATAATTTTGCATCCCTTTCAATGATCTATACATTATATGAACTGTGCTATAATTGACATTATTTATTTTCAACAATTAATTCGTAGGAATTTCATTGCTATCAAATATGATCACGGAGTGATGTCAGTCAGAGGACAACTGAATACCAGGAATTAATGGATAGTTGTTTCATCCTAGTTCTGGACTCTTCCTCTGTGTCCACCTACGACACTACTACGGATCGAATCCGGGACCTATATTTACCAGACCAAGCCCGTTGACCATTCTAACGTCTGTCAATTATTTGTTTTACCGTTTGATATTGAACTACGGTTATATACATGCACATATACATATAGACTGCACAGGATGCGAAGGTGGCAAAGTTGGTTGTACATGCTTCGTTTGTGTATAAAGTTCTAGTTGTTAAGAGTAAATTGCTATGGCTTCTATTGTTTGGATTATTCAGTATCTTGAAAATTTTGGCGATTTTTTAGGTGCACGACAGACAATAAAGTAGGATTCTTCAATGCTAACTTTACAGTCTGTTTGGATCAGGTGTGCTGATGTTGAACTGTTAATCCCTTTTATTACACCTTTATTAAGTCAAACTGATAAGAGATCCCGATCAAAACAAATTAAGTTCTTAGAGCACTGCTCGGTATAACAGGATTCATGGGAGCACTTGAATTGACAGACACACAAAGATAAGTTTAATTTAGGCAATTCATCTTTCAGATTTTGTATAATAACTGGCCGTTTCTGATGTGACAATAATACCTAATTCAAGCATTAATTGTGAGCATACTCGAGTTTAATTTTTCATAGTTATTTGCTGTCATATTTATTGTTGAATTTCGTCCTATATTTGTTTATCTTATCAAATACATATGCTTTCTGATTGGATACCAGTCAGTAACTAGTGTAATGTGTCTAGTCCCTTGTTTGGTGCAGACTGAATTCTATCAGTCAAGTTTGCAATCTGGAAACCCTTCTAGATGGCTCGCCATCATAGCGCACTTTGAATTGCTGATATTAGATGGTTGTAGGCAATCGGTTGCACTATAGCAGTGGGTGAAGACGGTTGAATCTCACAAGAGACACAAGTTCCTTTAAGGGTCCAGATACGCCTTTCTGACTAGTATGTGCCAACTAGCACAAAATCTAGGTCAGGCAAGGCTTCCTGCCATTTGCCTCCAACCGTCTGATACATACATATGTTTCAAACTGTAACAATTTACTCTCATATACACACGTTAGAGTTTTTATCATTATTTATCAGACCTGATTAACAAAATATTCACACCATCAATAACTCTTATTCATTAACAGATTGAATACATAACTGTGACTGTTTGAAAGTGAGGTTCAGCATAAAAGCTAGAAGAGAAGGGCACCAGTTTAAGTAGCCAAACTTTAAATAACACATAAATAAAGAAAAAAGATATTCAAAAGTACCGTAGTGATCAGAAATGTGCGGGAGAAATAGTTGTAAGATGGAAAAATCCAACAGTTAAGCGGATTGGGAAGACCACAAATAGTGAATATATCTGTGTCACTGAGAACCGTTTTTAGCCACATTAATAGTAGTCCCTCATCACTGCCTATCATCATACTGAGGATCTCAATCAGTCGCCGTACACCTCTCTAAGTGGTTGGCTCAAATCAACTGTCAGAGGCTTAATGGACCGATGGCAGGTCTCGGTTTAATTACCAATAAATCTCATCCTATGTCAGCAAACAATGTTCATCTAGGAAGGCGGTGGGTCGTCATACTCAACAAGTTTCCTAGCCATTTCAATCTACGTAGCTTCACAACCTCAATAATTGACTCACTTTCCCTACCTAATGCTGTATCCCTAACCTCAGTACTGCTCACCATATTATAGCACTTTACACCAGAAATATAACACAACCATCTGTAGTCAAGAACAGTTAGCCTTTTCATGTCTTCTAATTCTACTGGCTATGTCTCAAATCTATAAATGAGGACAGAGTGGAAACCAGCACGGTACACACATCCTTTAATCTGTATCCTTATATCATTTATACGCTAGAGATGATGTGAGTTGTAAAACACCACATAAACATTTCGCATACATGCTGAGATTTCATCAACTTTCAGTCATTTACAGGGTTAGTCACAAGAATATTCTTTGTCCAATGATCACTGTTTCGAAATTTGCAGTTGGTATTCTTAAACAACCTAAATTACATATATATATTATATGAACTACAATATTAAGGTATGCATAACTCACTTGGACATATAAAGGTTCGATACCATAAGTCTCAAATTTAGATGCGTGATCAAGAAATTTATTTTCAGCCTCAGCCATTGACATTCCTCTAAAATAGAATAAAGGCATATTGAATAGGTTGATCAGGTGGCTGCTTGTAAAGAAAAGAGTGATCAGCTGAAAAGAGTAATTATGGTTATGCAATAGAAATATTGTGTTAGTCTAAAAAGTGGTCCATGTAGAATGGTGTTCATAATTTCAGTTTCCCTTTGTAGATTCCACCTGATTTGAAAAATGGTTTCACTTTAGACAAAATTCTTTCAGCAGTACTGTTAACTAAAGATATCTAGATAAAGTTGAATTATTCATCCTCAAAATCTTTTAGCTTTGAACAAACCTTTCAAAATGGTAGTGAAATCAAGATATCTGAGTACATATGAAGCATTATCTACTCAAAAATGCTACCTCTAATACTACATGTCTGATGAAAGTACGTTCAATCTCCATTGTTACCATAGTGATCATAACTAGTTTACTTTCTGCATAAAACTATTATCACTTTATATGTATTCTCTAATTCTAACGGTTTTTTTTCTTGTAACTCTCATTTGTACTTAGTAAACTCACGTGATTGTTCACTGTATTTAGGTCTATGAAATTCTCCCAACTTTTGGTCATGTATTCACTAATGTACAGCCACCCATCTTTATTTTTTTATCCTAAGACCGAATGGAGATATATTCCACTTCATATGACTCTTTAGAGCTATTTTTATCCCAGGCATTAAACTACTGACAGTGCTGCTGATAACCATCAGTGAGACATTTCAGCAGAAGGGCTTTTTTAAAATAACATTGCCTAGTGACAAAATTCACTTAGCATCTAGAGATGGATATTAAACTAATCAACGATCGCAGTAGGATAAATAAAAACCACAACAAAACTTAAAACCTACTTATTTCATGGATTTTTATCAGCCGCTTTGCAAGTTATAAAAAAAAGCTTTAAATAACGTGTAGACAGAATGTACAAACAAGTCACTTGCATAAAAATGACAAAGTTGTACCCCGGACACCACAGAAGATGAACTGGACAGTCCCAAGAGAATCCTCGTCGAGAATTTTTATCCAGAAAGATTTATTGCAAAATCTATGAATCTTAGTTCACAAAAGCCGCCCACGCTTAGCGTCCCGAAAAAACTACTTTGCATGAACCTTCCGTTCAATGGAGATACATCTGCGGAAACACTAAAAAATCGACTGTCACGCTCACTCAAGAAGACCTTCTTTGCAGCTGAACTACGACTAATCTTCTCCACAAAACCTATGATTCATGTGAACGTGAAGGATAAGCTACCACTGCTGGCCTCATCAATGTGTATTTATCAATTCACCTGTTCGTATGGAGTCGCCAGGTATGTCGGCCGTATCCAGCGTTCGCTTTCCAAACGTATCAACGAACACTAACCAACATGGTTTTACAAAGGAGAAAAACGATGCCCCGCAGCTCCATCTTAGAACATCTGATAGAATCCGGACATCAAGCTACACCCCAAACTTCAAAGTCGCCTACAGAGTAAGAAGTACTCTTCCTAAAGATGTACGAGTCAGACTTCTTCAAACTGCTAAGCCCTGAACTCGGTATACAGAAGAATTTAATTTTTTTTATTTACAGCTTGATTCCACACAGTACTTTTGGTACAAGTATGGAATTTTCAGCATGTGATATCAGTAGCCCAAATTTCGCAGGCCGACCATAGATATCAGGTGTGCGTCGGCAGGGGATCGAACCTCGGACCATGTGCATGGTCGGCGAGAGTCCTAACCACTGTGCCACCGACGTTCAATCACTACACTTGCAATGGACTTAATCTATCTTATTATCCGACAAGTAAATTATACCTAACTCTTTTTTTCTGTCTCTCCATTAATATTATTTTGTCTTCTTAATTGTAATATTTTACATTTTCAACTTTCTTGTTCTCTACCCCCACCCGATTTAATTTCTACACCTCACTACCACTGTTACTGACTTGACCATCGCTAATTTTCTAGTCATTTATGCTACGTCATCCAACTTATTTGCTCAATTTTAGTTCTAATTTAAATGTCATTATTATCTACCCAACTTCTGCTTAGTCTCTACATGTAATTACCTCTTTTGCTACCCTGACCTAAGTTGAAACATTTTAATCAACTATATTACGTCATCTAACTTACTAACTCAATCTTACTTTAGTTGCTGTTTGATTAACCTTGTTTCTATGTTAGATCATTCTTTTATTACCTGGTCAATCAACCAAACCTGACAAACCTCATGTACACACACAAACAAATAATTGTATAAAAATGCGATAGTACAGCTATGTGAATAAATTCGCCGAAAAGAGTCTCTTCGCTGATAGTCTTCACTTTTTCAAAGTTGTAATAATTTCAATAACATGCGTGAGGAAATAAATAGTGAAGACAGTTGAAAAAGTGATTATTTGTTAAAATGACAATGAAAATCTCTGAGAAGATAAAAGACCAGGAGTCAGACCCTTGAGCAGTCCTCAAAACTTCATTATCAAGTAACTGATTTATTTTATCCAATACATCAGTCACTTAAAAATTTGTGAAACTATGATGTGTTGTTTTGACTGTTTCACACAAATCAGGTTATAAATCATTTCAGGAGAATTGAGAAAACAATTGAGGTTAGGCTAAGCTACACATTGCTTCTCTGCTTTCGTATAAGTTCTTTTTCGATCAGTATCCGCCTTGATTTAACCAGGTTTTCACCTCACCTGCAATCACTATATATTGCATGAATATCCATCAGTTAACTGAAGTATCAGGATGGATAAGCTTGCTTTTGCCATCTGTCACGGCTTAAGCATATACTGAGATGCCAACCTTACTAGATAACTTAGATTCACTAATTTATGGCTTACATTTATGAAAGTTTGTAAATATATGATAACATATTTTGTCTAGTAAAGGCTGTTGTCGTTTTCCCAGTCTGAATTTTGTGTCTGTCTCAGTGTCGGAGATATTTTCAAGTGATCAGTGGGTTATAGTGTAGTGTTCTGGAAACGCATTCAAGTCATGTTAAACGAACCCACAACCCAGTATCACTCTATCATAATATGAAGCCAATAATACACAATAGTTAGCCCATCTTGCCAACCGACTTCCTTTCCATTTCATTTATGCCAACAGCAAAAAATGTGACATCTGAAACTTTTAGTGTTTTTTACACTTTTTCCCTGTTCTTTGAAGATTCTGTAGCGATTAGACTGACTTTTCGGAGTATCTTCGCTTGCTCCACGGCCAGCTTTCCCTCTTTTACGAGGCTTAGAACTAGTTAGCGAACCAGAAATACCGAAAATACCCGCCATTAGCCGTCAATGCAGAAAGTTTGTAAGGAAGGGAAGGTATTTAATGACTGGAAGTAAGGAAACCTCTGAGTAATGTCACACGCCGGTCACTACCTCGAGTGGAAATCTAACTAGAAACAGTTAGTTAGGTGACATTAAGGAGATCATGCGAAGAGAAGGAGATGAAAGCCTTTGGCGATTGAGAGGGGGGAAGAGGAGCTGGGAAGAACAGCAGAGAACAGGATGAAGTGGGGATGTGCTGCTGTAGTCCTATATACCCCTTAGAACCCAAGGGAATAATAACAGCAATATTTACCTTTTAGTATTTCTCAGCGGAACAAAATAAAACAAATCCAGTACAGATATATAATGTTAACACCAACTATAACTTACTTTAGGGATTTATAAATCTCTACAATTTTCGCTTCAGTTTTTGGTGTTATATTGGCAAACATTTTAAGATCAGCTAATGAGCCTTCAGGTCCCAAGAAATCTAGTAATAGATTATAATCTCCTATTTCAGCTAAAATATATAAAGATAAGTATACAAAAATAATGACTTGTAAATAAAGTTGATATAAAATGAATTTGCAGTTGTAACAGACACTTTTTCAACACACAATATAAATATAGATGGCAGTTTTAGGAAATATTCTTTTATCTAGCTGACATGATAAGTGACTGAAGAACAAGTTAATTATAGATAGACTGTCCGATGACGTTATACAATAAAAAACTGATTATCCTTTAGAAACCATCGGCAGATAGACACATAAAATTTACGATTATGATTGGCAATAAAATTCATACTTTCTCTTTTTCTGTTAATAATTGTAAGTTTATTGATAGAAGATAATTTAACTAAATTAATTCTTTTTCTTCCTGTTATATCGTTAGCCCTGTAACTTAATTCTGTGATTCAAAACCTGTATATCCTTACTAGAATTACAGTCCTTGAAATTAATTTTCTTTTTACAGCGAGGACAGTTTCTAAAATCTCTCAGTAGAGCATATACTACTGCCAGCCTACGGGTAATGTTTTCTTGTAACACATGAAACACAAACTATCATATTGCGCCACATCGTCACGCATATATTGATTCACTTTTTCCTAGGGAGCTAGGTATATTGGTCATACCATGCGTCTGCTTGTGTAACGTGATAAGGAACACCATCTAGCCTTGCTATCAAAGGAAACATGTAGGTGTGTTTACAGCTCTATAGCAGAACATATGATTAACTCACAATACTCAACTTCGCTTAAAAATTCCTTCAAAGTCCTGTACAAGGACCGATGAAACCTCACAATGACGAGGAGGAGATCAAGAAAAATCTAGGAATGTCTGAAGCATTATATAATATTATTATTATTACTCCCAGGTGTAACAAAGTGTTTCAACAGCACATCTCCAGCTTGTTCTGTTCTCTGAAGTCCTCTTCAACTGGACCCATGAGCATCCATTAGCTTTTGTCTCCTCCTTGTCACCCAAGGACCTATATCCAACTCGTCATTTCTAACTCGGCTTCCACTCGAGAGATCGCTTGGAACCCTATGTCACCCAACGGCCTCCTCATCGCGTGTCCGACCCATCTCCATTTTCTTCCGACTGTTTGGCGGGCCAGCAACTGGTTCTTGGTTGGCTTATTGCCGGAGTTTCTTGTTGCTTATTTTTTATGATCATCGGATCTTCATTATTGAGGAAAGGCAGCTGCTGATAAAAGTCTAAAGTCCACTAATGGTAAATTGCTTTACATAGCACGCTAAGTTTCTGACCCATATGGAACTGGTCAAAAATCGATATTGAAAATCCAAATTTTGTTTTTGTGGTGAGCTCAGGAGAACTGCACACTAGATTTTGAGCGACGAAGGTCTGTCTGGTCTTTCCGATGCTGCTTTCAACACCTTAATCCGTGCTGACTACTTGTATTCGAAACAATGGTACCTAAATAAGTGAAGAAAGTGACCTCTTTGATCCGTTGATAGTGATTGGTGCTCATCGTTATTGATGTTGGATGGTTATCTCCATCATCTCTGTATTCTTTATGTTCACTTGAAATCCTGTCTTCTGTGTTTCTTCTGCCAAGTTATTGACTTTCACCTGTACGTTTTCATTTTAATGAAACATTAGATGTAAATCACCCGCGAATTCCAGATCTTCTAGAGTTTTCCTATTGGCCTAACGTAATCCTCTCTTCTCGTAGCTCACTGCTTGTGTTATGATCCAGTTCACTAGTTCACAATCAGCAGTATCATCAGTGATGTTAGCCAACCTCGTCTGATTCCTGTTTTTAGTTCAAATATCGAAGCATTTGCCATCCGATAATTCAAGCCAACTCTATTTATTCAAAAGAATTACACCCAACCTTTGTCCTTACCATGGCCATCACAAACAGGTAATTTTCGCAATAATTAATTTTTGTTCGACTATGTTCCTTATTTGAACTTTGCGTCTCTTTTTCTTATTACTATGTCTTTTATCCCTATTTATGTGGTACAATTTTCCGCTTGTTATAATTTGTCCTTCGACCGGAAATAGTTCTGTAACTCCCTCTCTAACTCCATTAGTGTATATTTACGAATTTGGAGCCTAGCTGATGAATTGGGCGAAAAGAAACTCTTTTGTCGCTGTAATTGTCTTTTTGTTGTTTGCCTATAATCTAATTTGTGTATTCCAAAATTTAAAGAAATGAGTTTGCCTAAATATTTATGCTATTTATAGGTGTCTTAAATTCAGGTCAACTTATTTGTTAATGTTCGAACATACAATGTAATGGAGAAATTATGTGACAGACTGAGAAAGAAAACAAAAAATATTCAGTTGCTCTTTGCCTGGAAGAAACATGATTTTATTATCAAGCAAGTGGTCAATATTGCGTTTAGTAACCAGTTAATCCTCTATTTTCAGCTCCCTCTAGCTAACTGCTTTCAACCTAGAAAGGCAGCTAACATTTACCCACAGTGAGTAGCTACTGGATACCACTCCCGAAGTGAGAGGATCTGGAAGAGACAATTACTCTTTCAGAGAGAAATAAGGGGAATGATCGGAAATTAAAACTAATTATATTCATGAGTTAGTTTACAAGGATTCGGTTGGTTGCCCATTGAAATCAGTTTAAGTACCATTGAAAACCAGGGAGTACTGGATAGCTGTTCCATCCTAGTTTCTCTCTATTCAGCAGGATAAACTCACGACCCCACTGGGGATACAGCCTAGGACCTTCTGCATACAAGGTGAATTTGTTGAGCTTTCAGCCATTGACGCAGTTGGTAAGCAACTCACAGAAGTTATAATTCCTGGGCCACCGTGAGTGGCTCTACCTGAGTGGCTAAGTGGTTAACAAGCTTGACTCGTAAAGTGAAGGTCCTGGATTTACCTCTCTTGGGTTAACAGGTGCTCAGTGATGAAGAGTCCAAAGCCGGGATGAAACAAGTGTCCAGTATTCCCTGGTTTTCAAAAGTTTTCTAAGTGATGTCAATCCATGATCATACTTCAAATTATTTCTGTAGTTGTTTCATGCAATCGATAACATACTATTTTAATGTATAAAAGGTTCATTCTAAGTAATCATCAGGGTGCCGGTAAAATCTTCATGACACGATTTTTGATCTAGATTAAGGTCAAATATTTATTTAGTACTTAACTTACACAAAAACGTGCACTCATTATGTATCTTCTCTTGGTCTTTGCATAGCAGATTGATTTTTTTTAAATACAATTGTCTTCAGATTTCGAAAAGAAATTGAAAGTCAAGAGATAATTGTAGCAACCCAGTGTCGTCTATGAATTCAATCACAACCCAACTTAAAACCTATCAGTTTAAAAATATGCTGAAGGAAAAGTAGATTGATCAAACACACTCCAAGGGCACCATTGGGTGACATCACGAGCAGCGCAGACCCTCGAGTTTAATCCAAGTAGGAAACGACGAGTTGAATGTATGTCCGACGGTAACATGGAGGAAGTGAGAGCTTATGGGCGATCGTGGAGGCAGCTAAACAGGACTCTTAAGAACAAAATGAAATGGAGATGTGTTGTTGATGCTCTGTGTTTCCCCTAGAACTTAAATTAATAATAATTTCTATAGCAATTTATAGTATTGAGAAGAATAAAAGTTGATAACAACAACACAATGGAAAGCTGGGAGAAAAATTTCCTTTTAATAATCCAATACTTCAGTGATTCAAAACATGTACATTCACATTCATTAATAACTAACCTTGTAGTATACACGCAGCAAGTACATGCATTTCTAAATTTCTTCCAATCAGCCTTCCACTATGAAGATCACGTCTCAACTGAAGATACAGCAAGTATCTGTATTCATCCAAGTACAGTAGTGTTTTATACATGATTGCATTATTTTTAAATGAAAGAAATCAGATAAAGTGAAAATAGAGAATTAAATACAATTAATATACAATTTTATGACGGATTTTTAAGGTGAATAATGCCTGTAAATGTGAATTTAAGTAGTACTCTCGTAAATTATTATTGTCGGTTCTGTAAACAGCGCAACATACACATGAAATCATAGGAAAAAACAAGAAACAGTTGCAGTTAAGAAAAATTCCGTTTTTTCTTCCTGAGAAGCTATACAACATTCGTAAATACATAACAAATTGTGTATTACGTAACTATGTTAGGCTTACTGAATTTTTTTTCTTTATTAATAAAAAAATTATTTTGACAACACATCACCCCTACCGTCTTACCAATCTTCATCTGCCCCTAGCTACACTTTGATTACTCATCACATTTTTGAAATGTCTTGATATCAATAACAACACTAACTTACTTGTTATTCTTATCGAACAAACCTAAAGTACACACACATACGAAAATACGTATATGTAATTGCGTTTGTACCACCAAGTGTGAATGAATTCGCTGTCGAAAAAAGACCCTTCGCTGAACTAAGTATTTTGTTTTCATTAACTGTGTACTATTCCAACTTCCTGCTTAACGTTTTATCAGTTTATCTTTGAATGCCTTTTCGTACTATACAGCTTCATTAAACTTTGATCACAAAAAGTTACGGAAATTACTCATCTCTTTGTTAACATATTCACAGATGTAAAATCGAGTTGTTAACTTCGTTGAAAAATTTTTTTCTTTGCTTCAACGGTCCATTATTTTCATTTTATTCAAATTAAGTATTTTTATTATTTTCCTATTATTCCTGTACGTTCCCAGTGGAACATAGAACTTTAACTAGAGGCTTGATGTTTCGGTAGCAGTGGTGTGCCATTTTACAGAATGTGGTTGATAGCCTCCTCCTTACCATTCTCATCACTGGCTCAGAGAGGTAAAAGAGTGTGTCTTTGGCCGGGGGTCGAACACTGGACCACAAGAGGCGTGGTTGGTGATAAAAATAAAAACAAGATAAAACGAATAAAATACGAATACAATTTCTAGTCGTTCTCCTCACCATTTTTAGACTTTTCAGTTGTGCGCATCCATGATATCACCAGGGTTCGATTCCTGACTGGTGGTGATTAAAGGTCTATCATATCTTAAAGCTGAACAAATAAATACACTGAAGTTAATCTAAATACCTATAAAATAACTGCAATCAGAATATCAGTCTTCAGCTCACTGATGGCTACTACATGGATATTCTGAAGCCATACTGAGAAGTTTTGGCCAGTGGGATCCAACATTTTAAGGTAACTTGAAGGCTTTTCGAAGACAGCAGTTGGAGATAGCGCTATATCATGAATTGTCAAAGTCAAAATTCACAGGTAACTGAATTTCGGCTAACCTGGCTAAATGGTCGATGATCTTAGTCTGGTAACCTGAAAATCTGAGGTCTGATCATTGGTGGAGTCATAGGTGCTTGCACTCCTGAAGAATTCATTGATTTCCGGTTCTCAATGATTTCTCTAATTGATGCAGATTCATGAAGAAATCTACATTGCGCTATTACAAGAGGCTAATTAGCTACTGTCAATGAATATGAACTGATTGGTTGGTGTAAGACTAAATGCTACTGATGACTGAGATGAGCAGTAGTGTTTGCTAGCCATACTGAGGTGATGTAAGCTTCGGAAGGCCGTTTTGCGTGTTTGGGACGGAGCTTATCAGCTGAGAGTTTTATCTGATTCGCCTGTCTGAGCTGAGTTCAACCGGGCTGACAGTTGATGAACCTGCCCCTAATCGATCAAAACGACCAACAGACACTACTGGTTGACATGAGTGGTATACGACTACCCATCTCAATCCGTTAGTAGTATATAGTATATATATATATACGCTAATATGTTTAGTTTCTTGATTTGCATTTGTGGTATAAAGCAGACCGCAGAATGTTTTCTCAATAGTCAGGTTTACAAAGAAACTGTGGTGAAAATTTCCCCCTTTGAACTGTGTACATTGCAGAATGGCTAACCAATTTACAAATAGTGATTTTGAGTGATTGTCATTAACTAGTACTGGCACTCTTACAAGAAAAACCCTAGTAGATTCATACTTTATGCTTCTGGAGTATCCTAGACATTTATTTCGTTTTCCACTGCTATTATCTTTGAAAATCTATAACTATCATATTATCTGTGATAAAGTTCACGTATCAATCACTTAGAGAAGGGATATACACTTGAAACAAAGAATTTCAGTGAGAAAATTAATAGTACTCCATCTGTCTATTCTTCTACCCGTAAAATATCAAATAAGCCTAATTGATTTAAATTTCCATTCAAGAACTTATTTCCTTTAAACTATTCTCATTAAATACATGTTAATAACGAAGAAAGAAATAACATGATACTTAGCGTAATTATCTATCATTCCTGTTATCAATCCATCTGATTCCTATCAATGGTGCAAACATCTTCCTATGTTGGTAGTGACTAGCATTGTAATCCACAATACCCATTTCATCCTGTTTGGAACTCGTTCGCTAGTATATTTACCTGAATTTACAGTGAGTGATAGTGTTTCCATTGGGACTCGAACCCTACAACTGTCGTTTGAAACTCTGAAGCAGGGCAACTTTTTATCTATTTATATTTATTTTTGATTACAACTTGATTCCGCACTGCAATTTTGGTACAGTTATGGAATTTTCAGTATGTGATATCGGTAGCCCAAATTTTGCAGGCAAGCCATAGATATCAGGTGTGCGTCGGCAGGGGATCGAACCTCAGATTATGTGCATGGTTGGCGGGAGTCCTAACCACTGTGTCTCATCACTCACTGGGAAAGGGAGTATATCCACAGGCTAACAATTCACAAATACGACGAAACGTAGACTCTGGATTCAACGGCTAGTCACTATCAACCAAAATATCTTCATATTAATCTTTAAACACTGTCGAAGTGTACTTAGTAGGAGCCGGCATTTCAACAGATAATGAGCATTTCAACCAAACCTAATCAGCCAACAAGAAAACCAAAAATAAATTAAGAACAACTACGACGATTTATTAGTGTAAGCGTGGAAGCTGAGCACTGTGGTGGAATATAATTCTGTCATATTTCATGTAAGATATGTTTGTTTCAAATAAAGATCAGTAATACTGTATTAATAACTGGATATAGCTCAGGATTAAACTGGGAAATAGCTTCACTAAGGTGAATAGTGCAGTTCAATTGTAAACTAGTCAATTTGGAACTATTCAGCAGTACGTTACCACCGAGGTTTGAGCTACCGACATTCAGGTTACACACCGAGTTCGTAAACCACTGAACCATTGAGACTAATCGTTATTAATACTGGACCACAGTGTATTATTTTAAATAAACTTATCTAATATGATATCTCACATTTAGTTGTGAAGATATTTTTGCCTATTTTCTTATGTCAGCATCAATTGTAATTGTTTATGTGTAGTTCCGATGGAGTTCCAGATTTACACAACTGTCACCTACACCACTTAGTTTATTTAGATGGAAAATAACATGTCAGCTTGTTGATCGTTTGTTCTATCTTCTAACGTCTTGTGAATATGACGTCTGCTAATTCAGTAGCTTATTTCCTTGTAGATTCACCATCAGTCAGTCGGCTCAGTTTGTTTTATTCTGTCATTATTTTGGTGTGATGGAAATGTTTTAGACAATTTTTTCGTCTCATAACACCATCTAGTCATCCTTGATTTAGGCGTCTGAGCATCGCATAGAGCAGATCGTGTGAGGAAAAGGAGACGAAAGATTACCTGTAATTGTACAACCAACAAAAAACAGACCACAGAAAACAGGATAAAGTGGAGATATGCTATTGAAGCCCCATGTTCCACTTAGGAGCCAATGAAGTCTACTTGAGATGAAGTAAGCGTAGTGTGCAATAGCTTCATAATATCTATTCTAGCTAACAATAACTGACAGTGTGAACAAAGAAAAAGCTGCGTTAACACAGATTGTAGTTAAACAAATTCCAGTTGTCCTATAAACCACCTGTTCATAAGCGTACTTTTCACAGAAATTTTGGGAAATAATAATATTAATAAAGAATACTAAAAGTTCTTTTGTAATAGTAATAATAATAAGGGAGAAGAAATAAAAATTAGGTCAAATAAAAAGACTAAATTGAAAGTTTACATAACAATAAAGACCATTCAAATAAGAAAAACTAATAGTACATTAAATTAGGTTTAAGAAGGTAAGGCATTTGTCTCCGATGCTTCATTAAGTTCTTATTGTTTCCACTATACGCTGCCTACTAAGCTCATATGATAATTAGGTATGATCATATTGTTCTGAACACACTGCAAAAGTACACCATGAAGTTTAGATAAACAGCTTATGTTTTTATGATTGTGTTTAAAGTACGATAAAAGAGATTAACGGTTTCAAATTGTGTTTCACAGAGAATGTAAGAGAAAAAATGTTTGAATTATGTTTTTTTTAATGAAAATGCCTCCTACTTTCTTTATTATCTGAGAAGTATAGTCAAGAAATCCAAACTAATTAAGAGGTTACAAGTGGGAAGAAAGATAACTGATACTCATTATAAAAAAGCATACTTCAAGTTGTAAAAACTCCATAGAAATTCGGCTTTATAGTTTTTTATTTGGAATTTAGGAGGTACATTTCATCTAAATGAGACTTATCAGTTGGATTCCCGTTAAGTGATAGTGCAATGATTTGTAATTATCAAGATGGAAAAACCTAATGTTGGCCTAAACACATAGTAGAAGCATCTGTACCACAAGCTGATATTTCAACAGGAACTAAGAATTTCGATCTAATAAAATTGTTCAAAAGACTTCCAAGAAATTTCAATTTCTTCGTTTAACTCAATTTTGTTTATACCATTGGCTGGGCGAACCGAAATGTTCGACCTCTGTAAACATGTCGCCTCCTAATACAGACGCTTTGATGATGTTTAAGGATTAACGCTGACGTTATTTTGTGAACAATAACTGACTGAAAGCGCAACCCAGGAGGAGCATTTCGTCCTCCTTGGGGCTCGTCTGATGAATGTGCCCGTCTTTCCCATTGAGTGGTGGTGTTCCTACTGAGGCCCAAGCCCAGTCGTCTTTGTTTCAAACATCAGAGTTATTTCCCACTTAACCACTTAGACCAAGAAAGCCAGCACCTCTAGCATCATCATTCACATCTGGCCAACGAGTTCGGAATAAGCCGAAATAAGCATCCTAGATTCCATTGCCAGTTACCATCCTCTAAAAAATTACTTTGAAAATTAGTCTTGATTACAAAATGCACCTTTTTATCGACTAGACCATCTACTCTTCTGCCAAATAAGTAATAAATATCAGTAAGCACTAATAATGGTCAACACAAAATGGAGATTTTGAAAAAATAATAATAAATGAGTAAATAACTATCTGATTAACAACTAAAATATTTATTTGAGAGAAGGGAGAAAACCTTCCCTAACCATAGCAACGCATTTATAATGCATGTGTATTACTCAATTATGCTATTGAATAACAATAACAATATTAATAATATTTATTATAAAAGTAGAATATTAATTCATCTAATTAACTCCAACTGTATTTTGGTCTGATTTAATCTAAACTGTTTTTTTACTTCTCCCATTTCATATTTCCCATTACTTACCAATCTCTCACTTTTCATCCTTCTTTTTATTCATTAGAAAACTACTTAGTCTATCCACAGTAATTAGAATAAAAGTTTGTGTGTGTGCAGAAATTAAGACATTCTATGCGTAACCATAACACACAACAGGAAATCACTACTAGGTCTAAAAGAACACGAGAATTGGAATTAGAGTTTTGAAAACTCAAAAAATAAAACAACCCCCCCCACAAAAAAATACAAATCACGTGGTAATAAAACCGGGCAACAAGTTAATATGGTAATGAAAAGTAAACTAAATAATTGATTTTTATGTATATAATTCTAACCTGAATATATTAATATTGCATTTACGAGATACAAGAGATTATTGATCATAAAGTTTAGTTACTCTTGTTATTATTTTCCCCTGGGTTATGTAAGACACTATTGGCTTCTTTTAGAAACAATGACTTTGCCTGAATACTTTCATTACAACTTGGTTGAAAATGTATTTTGACAAGGTATTGCACAAATATTTGGGGATAATTGGAAATGTAAGTACCACAGTAACCTGACGAATTCGAGACAGTAAGTTTAATTTCTAATGAAAAGAAGAATTCATGAGTTACTGATGTTTCTAAGAATATTTTGAAGAGTTAACCAATGTAATCTTTTCAACCACCAGTGTGTTTGTATTTTATAAATGTCTTATAAAAAAATGAGCAGAAGCAGTCTACTTTAGTGCATAAAATAGAGCTAATCAATCTCTCGCGTCGGTGGCACAGCGGTAGAATGCTCACCAAACACGCATCATGTGGTCCGAGGTTCGATTCTCAGCCACAGACACAGTATTTCACCTCTCTAAGCCAGTAATGAGACCTTTAAGGAGGGAAGGTTGGGCATAATGCTAGCAACCGCATTGCGTAAAATGAAACACCACTGCTGCCGAAACTTCAAACCTCTAGGAATAAAACAATCAACCTCTCACTTTAGACCACTTATTGATCTAAAATAAGTGTAGAAATCTGCTGCAATCTGCGTGAAGAAAAAGATTCGGATTTTCAGCATGAATATCAAGATAGTCAGCGCTTCTCTGTGATTCAGGGACTTGTTGCGTCATCGGAAGCATTTCCAACAGACAACTACAGCAATATATCAAAGCCTAACCTATTCGCTCTCAACTGAAGATCCAGAAGGCCTGAGAGAAAGGATAAGTGACAAGGAACTCTGGTATGCAATAAACCAACCAAGAACCTGTTGATCAACAAATGTACTAAAGGAAATGGAGATGGATCCGACACACCCTGAGTAGACCATTGAGTGCAACCCAAATGGGGATCGGTGACAGGGGCATCACCTTGAATGTGACATGGAGGAGGTCGTGTGTTGAGGAGAAAAAAGATTATAGGCAATCTTAACGCCATCTGGAAAGGAATTTAAAGAACAGCATGGTATGAGGATGTGCCACTGAAGCCTTATGTTCTACCCGGATCCCAGGGGAATAATAATAATCTGCCAGTTAGTATATTAAGTTTTGTTCTTGAAAGAATTTATTTATTTAATCAGTACTGGTCAAACTTTTCTTTCTTTATATTTTTTTCTCTCTTTTCTCTTCCAATCTGAACAAAAAGCTGAAATCTGTTAGATTTCCAGCGGTATTGGTGTAGTTTTCATGCAATGAAGCCACTAGCTGCATGACTGGCCAACCCTCTTCTCAGGGTTTGATGTCATCTGATAAACTAGGCGAAGTTTATAAATGCATCCGCAGCAGATCGAACCAAGTTTTCCACATGTGTGATCCGTTACCATACACGTCGTGCTTATTCAAACCCCAGTCAGCGCACTTCTAAGTTTCGCCCAGTCTATATTAACATCAGAAAAGACAGAGGCTTGGACCTGACGCTAGCAGTCACATTCTGTGAAAGCAGCACCATTTTAACACAGGATCTTGAAAGCTTAGATTCTGAAGTCTTTTTGTTTAACTTCAAACTTAAAGGAATTGAAAGAGAAAAAAGACTTGTAGATTTCACTGTTCAGCATTTCACTGGTTAGTTATTAAGAATTCAACAGTTATTTGGTTAGCACTATACCCTTCACAATCAGTATGAGTCATTGATTAAGCGGAGCTTATCCAATAACTCTTCTGAAATCAGCTATTCTTTCTTCATTACTTATCAAGCAAGACTTTTGTTCCCCCTAGGTTTGTGTGGTGAAAGCAGGCTGCTAGCCAATCGGTAGACATTAATTCACGTCACTGTCTAGGTCACTAATATTGGCCGTGAGAAAATATGAACAAGGCTGATTCAACAACCAATCACAGCAGACTTAACGTGGGCAAATATGATTCGCAGATATATGGCTTAACTTTCCGAGCAACCAGAAACAACTAATCAGAAGACTGTGTTTGTCTGCCTGAATAAGCTATAATAATGTACATGAAATATATATATATATATATATATATATATATATACGTGCTGATTTCCGTAATAAAACGATCTGTTGCCTGGCCCTTGTCTTCTGTTGCAATTCTTTCCTTTTGACTGTAAACTTCAACGTTAACTAAGTGTGTAGCTGTTCTTCAGTGATTTATATACACAGCTACCTAAGTAGTCGAAGTTAATCCCGTCGGTTGACAATGTATTCAAGATAATAATTTATGCGTCATTGGAAGCTATTCACCTCCAACTTCGATTCAGAGTTCACTGTCAAGTAAACATTCTTTTACCAATATGTATACATTCATTAGAAATGATTTTTCAAAGGAATAATCTGTAGAATAGTTTTATTTTTCAGTAATTACTGAAATAAGCTCAGTAGTAAAGTTAGTACTATCAAGTTTAATTCTTTCACTAGACAGTTTTAGTGACTTTATTCGAATCACTAGTGTAGACCCTTTTTATCATAAGGGATTTTCAAGACAGTTATTAAAGAATGAATATTCTATAAGTCGAGACATTCTTTCTCTTATTCTCATCATCTTCACCATACTGGGGTCTACTTAGCAGTGTGGATTGTTAATAGATAACGAGAAGTGCTAATATATCATGCATAGAATTTTTAAAGTGTTGCACTCAACTCTTGTAAATAATGTACACTGAAAAGTCAAAATGAAACTGACTATCCATCAGAGTTATGATTTCAAGAAAATAAACTCACCGACTTTTCTCTTGACGAAATTCATTTACGGGATCACTTGGATAATGTTTCACACGAAAATTTAAAGATCTTGGACTAACATCTGTTAAACAAAAAGGAACAGAATCATTTACACAGAATTGCTTCCATTCATATTCGACCAAAATATGAAGGTTAATATCTTACCATTACATAAGCTGGTGCAATAAACCAAATGATGATGTCATAAATAGACAAAAGTGAGAGGGATATAATTTTGAAATCAAAATCTTTGAGGTAACACTGGACAATGCTTCAAAGTAGATAATCACACTTAACAGCCTTATTGACTATTCAAGTAACTACCACTCTGAAAATCGTGGTTATGATGTTGTAAGTGAAAATACACGAGACTTCGTAGTATTTATCATATCAAACAGCCAGTCACCAAGGTGAATGAACAGCTCCGACACGGAATATTGTTAATACAGGAATTGGACAGCTGTTTACTTTAGTTTCAGACTCTTAAGCAGTACGCACACACCACGGTTAGAACGCAGGATCTTCCAGTTACAGGGCGAGTTCGCAGATCTTCCAAACTTTGGGACCAGATACAGTGACACATGAATTCTAACTTCTGCCAGTTTGCGATATGTGACGCAAGTGCTAGCATATATCATTGGCATGTATCTGTAACCATACCAAAATTGGTGAACTCCGTGGACCATCACTTCCTATTAAGAGACCTCCTCCTGTAGTCACTTGCTTTTGAGTGCTAGATGAATTTTCAAGTGTTATTTTGCATTGATTTGATTAGTTTCAAGATTAATCATGAATCTTGTTTTTTTAAAGTAAAACACCAAGATGACCAAGCCTGTGGAGGGCATTTCCTCAAGTGTCTGTCTGTCTGTCTGGATTCAACATAGAACTTGGCACCGAAGTGCAGCAGTTCGAGTTGCCACGTTCCAATTGGCACACAAGGTAGACAAGAAGATGAGTGAAGAGAATCAATAGAGTTTGACAAATATAAGAGTGAAACAGAATGGGTAATGGTAGAAAGGGAATATGAAAGATTACAGAGACTGAATACATCTGCGCCATTGACAACGATTTTGAGCCATGTCACCTATAGTCTCCAGCCATTGATTTCTAGAGTCCCGAGGGCCCCAACCCGGGAGTCTGCATCTCCCCACCTGACTCAGTTTAACTGTCAAGTGTCTTATTACCGAAGCTGTAGTTTAGTAATCATCCGGTGTTATTGATTTACTGAAAACAATTGAAATTTCACTTAGTCAGAAGAGAATATATTGACCTTAAGTGAGTTATCTATCCATTTCATCTTTAACAATGACAGAAGCATGGAGAAGTTTCACAGTATGACTTCAAATGAAACTAATCACTCAGTTTATGTTGTGATTGATATTGTAAAAAAAGTGAAGTGGTGACGATGGTTTTTCCTCCTCTAACTTTTGTATTTTACAAAATAAAGACAATGTCTACTAATTTTATGTCTTCTTTGTTAGCAATCAATTCATACCAAATAAATTGGAACGAGAAGACTTCAGGATTAATAACCACCTAGATATTGCTGTGTGGAAATCTGCTTCAATCATTATAAAGAACAGGATTTGAATTACCACCATATAATTCAAATCAGTGCCTTTATAGGGTTCAGACATTTGGTGAGTCATCAAAATCCTTTGAAAAAGCCTTCAGACTTTCATCAACAACTGCCTTCTTTCCATACTGAAGATGCCGTTGCTAGGAGTGATAACCAACGTGAAACTTTTGTGGGCTACGGACCGACCATCAACCCATTACTCAAAATATCTGCCGAAGAAAATGTAGGTGGATTGAACATGCACTAAGGAGACTGATGACTGAAATAATGCGCCAACCAGACCTTAGAGTGGAACCTGAATGGGGATAGTGGAGAAGACTTTGTGAGGTAGAGATAAGGGATGATGGCAAATTGTGAAGGCATCTATAAAGGAGTTCAGAGAAGAGAATAAAATGATGGCGAGCTGATGACACCTAACCTTCCACCTGAGACCCAGTGGAATAAGAATAATGCGTAGTAGTAAGACGCTGCGTTGACTTCTGGTAAGACAATCAGCGGATGAAATGAATTCTCCATCATTTATCTATAAGAGTCTTTCAAAACATTATTGAATTTGTATTAATTGGACTCAACAAAAACAAGAAACCACCGTTCAAACAATGAATACATAATCAAATGTATGTTAACGCTTACACTTTAACTGCTTGTAGACGGTTTTTGACATTTCAAGCCATTGCTAAAATAGAAAATAATAGTTATCTTAAAAATAAAACTAAGTGAATACATAATACGCAATTAAAATAACTATTTACGGTGAATAATTTATGTTGAGTATTTTAAATATGTCTCACTTGTGCTTTGCTATATACATTTATTATACTAATAAATCTAAAATGACAAACATATTATTCTCTGCTCATATACGCAGTTCTAAAGTTCCTGTGATACAAGTTGCACAAAATAACCATCAATTTAGTTTCACTTTTAATAGTTGCACTTAATGGCTTACCAAAGTATGACTTGCGCAGCCTACAGTCATTTGGTCAGGGCAATTTAGTACATGCCTACCATAGAACATGATAAGTGGATAAAATTACCAATCAAAAATTAGCAAACAGTATTTAAATACAAAATTCATTCTAAGAAATGGGATTTGCAAAATATTGTAGGACTGTGTTTAGGTTAATCTGAACAAATTATTCAACATTATGAAGGATGCTGAATGTAAGGATGATACCTCAGTTGAGATTCTGAAGAACAGCTTATCCAGATAGCTGAAAAAAGCTTTGTTTTCAACCGAGCTACAGATAAATTTCTACATTCGACGAAATGACCAATAGATACGTGATGAACCACTTCGATGTGTGTTTATAAATCTATTTGACTCTGTGGAGCTAGACATATTGACCGACCAAAGTTCATACATCCCAAATGCATCTCTTAACACTATCCAGTATGGTTGTCTACATGATAGTGTAAGACAATTACTAGCTTAATTCTCGAGCACCTGGTGAACTCAGGCCATGTAGTTAAATCCAAATCGTCTTTTAAAGTTATCTACAAGTTTTGGCATTTGTGTATGGTGGAGGCAATAGATATTTGTCAACATACTCCGATCCTTTTGTTCAGAAAAGGTGTGTTTAGTCTCTTATTCCATAATGGCTTTAAGATCTTTACTATTCTTCTGCTTTTATTTTTAGTAATTTATTCACTATTGTTACTCTGACGTGTTGTTCTTGTACATCTCAACATTTTCACACTTGTTAGGTGCACAAGTTTTGTCAAACTAGCATATTGTTATTCAGGATAGATAACATATTGTTTTAACTAATTCTAGTGAGACTTACTAACACATTATGTTACTTCAAAGAAACAACCAACAACAAAAATCATGAACTCAGTTGTGCAAACTCTTGAAAGGTGTAATTTAACAAGCTGACTGTTGCGAACTTTTGGATTTTTTTCCAACAGTAGTATAAGCTAGTAAACACAGCAATGCACAGTTTAAAAGATTGCAATTCTACAAAACAAGATCAAGAAGTGACAACGGTTAAAAAGCCATTGAAAACTATGGTGTACTCAACAGCTTTTTCCCTTCTATTTCGGGACTCTTCGGCGATACACACCAATTAACCTACTGATGATCGAGTTCGCGACCTCCAGCTTACATGATGAGTCCATTCACTGTGTTCTATCCCAGTGACTGAGTGGTTAACGAACTTGTCTCGCAATTTTGAGGCCCTGGTTTCTACATCCACTGCGTCCTGATGAAGAGTCCTAAAGAACATTTTAACAACTGGTGTGATCAGAATCAGTATCTTTCCTCGAAATATTACTAGATCTCAAATTTATTACTGACTTCAGACAGTCATTACAAATACACTTAAAATGGAATGAATAATTCTACGAAGCATAACGCTTCCACACACATTATGTAATCAAACACATCTAAAGTATTTCAAAAGTCATTAGAACCTAAATTAAAATGTACAAAACATTATTTGGCATAATGGATTAAGTCCTTCCTTACAGCTGAAATTAATCAAATATTTGGTCTTAGTAGGTAATGGATCTACAGAACAGCTACTCATACCTGATGTGAAATGAATTTGTTCTAAAATATATCAGGGTGTTGAATTTCCAGTTTTTTCAACTCTTTATGACATACCAAGGATACATTCACGCAAAACATTTGAAGAGGTATGATTACAAAAGAAAAAAAATAACTATTATTCCTTGTTACATCCATCAGATGATTATTTCATAAGTGGAGAAAACAAAACGACTTATATAATACATATCAATCTTACCCTTTGTTTAGAACGATCTAAATAACGAAGACCAAAATAATCCTTCTCAATAATTCCACCTAAACGTTCTATGACTTGATTGAATAATGATCGACCTAAACAATCATTCTGTTCAGTAGGGTAAGAGAAAATAAACAAAACATAACATACTCATTAGTAATCAACAAAGTGACTATCTGTGATAATATATTGTGGGCTTAGAAGGCACATGTAAGTAACAAGCTAAGATAGTCAAGGCATCACTCTTCTCGAGATTTAGTCTCTAGGGTTTTGATTTGTTTCAAGCTTGACCATGGATTAATATCAGTTAAAGAGCCACTGCAAACCAACAGGGAGTAGTGAACAGCTGTTCCATCCTTTCTGGGGACTCATTGGCAGTACTTACCCACTGGGGTTCGAACTGTGGACCTTCTCGTAGCAATATAAACTCGTAGTGTGTAGAGTACCGACCCTTCTTTTTACACCTAAATAGTGTTTTCTTGTTAATTCGTCTAAATAGTCAAATAAAATGTCTGATATGTGAAAACTTAAAATACAATTTTCAAGGAAAGCATATGAGAATGGCATATACATGCTAATGTGTTATATGCTACTGACAAGATTTTCTAGGTAGTAAGTACTTTTTGTAACTTAGTCTTCTGCAAAAGTATTGAATAACAGAGGGATGGATTAACCAGAAAACAGAAGAGAGGAATGATCCCTGTATGAAACAACATGGAAGGTAGAAGAAGCATGAAAAGGAGAACATGTGCAAGTTGTGGCTTCGATATAAGGTGTATGCAACTTACCATATCTCTACATCATTTTGTCTCTGAACAATTCCACCATCAAATACCACTGTGTACTGTTGTTACACTAGCATTCAAATTCCGATTATAAGGCTATAAAAGACTTACTGTCATTAAATAGTAGCAAATTGTTTAATTCCTAGTAATACAATCAATACTTCAACACTAATCATATGCCTTGAATAGGCATAACTCCTAAGCAAAAAAAAACATTGCTGTAACAATTGAGACTGCTCTTTCAGTGTACATTCATGCAGAACACAATGTTCACACTGAAAAAAGACAAAATTATTCTTAAATATATATACTTCACTTTATATCTAAGAACCCAGTTAAAATATTTTACTGTTTTTTCAAATTTAATGCTAACTGGACTACTAGTCATGCAGAAATACATACTTCAGTTAGTCAAAAATATCTTTGGATACAATTGGTGGATGGTGACTAGCAGTGGAATCCAGGATAAAGCGCATTTCGTCCTATTTGGGACTCGTCATCTGGATGTACCTGCATTTCTCAGTGAGTGATGATGTTCCCACTGAGGCTCGAAGCGAGTTCCGATAATTTCAAACGCCAAAGCGTTATCCACTAGATCACCTAGGCCACGAGAGCCACCTTTTGTTCAACGGGTCATATTAATTATTAAATTGGATTTTTTGATTTTCCCGTCGATTGATTTGTGTATTTATTTGTGTATTATTTGCAGTTCATGTTGTGTCATGTCAACTTAAGCAAGTACTGTGCAAAATACGAAATGGAATGAAGTCATTTCACAGTCAAATATATCCACATCTTGAAGAAGAGAATTGGTATACCGGTTGTAAATAAATGAACTAAAAGTGTATATGAGTTATACTGTTATTACACGATAATTACTTTCATTAATATATTTCATTTTGCGAATCCATCTGTCTGTATGCATAGGATTTGTAGCTTATGGGAATGATTTCCATATGTGGTTGAGTTATCTGAGCTGAATAGTGTTTTAATTGTGTAGCTTTTGTTGTCCTCTTAGATAACATCCTCAAAAGAAACTTCAGTATGCGACGAACTTATCTGAATTAGCCATGGATGATATAATTGCTTTCCGTGACCATCTCTGTCGCGATTCGGTGGTAATTAATCGTTTTTTATTGATTTTTTTATTATAGCTTGATTGCACATCGTATTTTTGGTACAGGTATGAAATTTTCAGTATGTAATATTGGTATACAATTGGTGGATGGTGGCTAGCAGTGGAATCCAGGATGCGCATTTCGTCCTAATTGGGACGATGTTACCACATCATCACTCACTGAGAAATGCAGGTACATCCAGATGACGAGTCCCAATTAGGACGAAATGCGCATCCTGGATTCCACTGCTAGCCACCATCCACCAATTGTATACGAATTAAATGCCCAGACATCGTCGAAGCATCTGCACAAGAAGCCGACATGTCAACCTGAGACCGAGCACTTCGGTCCAATCAATCGACGGGAAAATCAAGAATTCCATTCAATAATGTAATATTGGTAGCCCAAATTTTGCAGGCCGACCATTGACATCCCGTGTGCGTAGGCAGGAGATCGAACCTCAGACCATGTGCATGGTCGGCGAGAATCCTAACCGCCGTACCAGCGATGCACTGTGTTAGTTTGTAGGGATCTGAGTCACTTCAAGTCTAATCACAACCAGTTAGAGAATCATTGGAAAGCCTGTGAGTACTGGACAGCTGTTACTTCCTAGTCTTTTGGAACTCATCGACAGTAAGCACCACCACAAGGGTTCGATCCCAGAACATTGCGGTCACAGGGCAAGCTTGTGGACCATTCAGCCACTGACTCAACTGCCTATGAATTCGAGTTTCTACCGACTCGTGATTTTAGCGTGATCACCAGCCAATGTCATCGTCGAATATTCTTTATTAGCTGTGAAATTTATTCTATAACAATGTCTGTTTACTCACCGATTTATCTTAGTACCAGGCTTTAACAAATTTCTAGGTATTTTCGGTATTTCCAGTATTTAAAATTCCTACATTTCCCCAGTCAAACTGGTGTCTGTAGTTGCCTATATGCATATGTTGTTTCTTTTGAAAACCTGTTTATATTCTTGCATTCAAAGTAGAAGAGGACTCCCACTGTGTTCATCATAGTTCATGCAACTTATTTTGTAAATGGTGTTGATTTGTCTCCTATCTCTTACAGGTATTCATTGTAATGACCTATGAAGCTGCTCTCTGTGGACATTTACGAGTAGTTTTTTTCAAAAAAGATTTCAAATCGCAGAAAAGACGTAATTTAGCAGTTCATGAAAAGCTATCATAATTTATCCACTCTTTATCATCCTAAAATTCTAGAAATCTTAATAATTTTCATTAAATTAACAACAAATTTTTTATGTTTTATTCGAAAGACGTTAATTCTTCCCTATAAATTCCATTCTGTACCTTCACCTAATATCCTGTGAGTAAGTTACATAAGACTCAGCATTGATGTGTGGCAGGCCAAGTAGTACACAAAGGTAAAGAAGAGGAAATGCGATTTACGACAACTCTAATAAGCAGAAATTTACTTTAGGAAGAAAGGTAACATGGAAAAAACATGAGGGGTTCATGAATGCAGATGATCACAAAAAGTGAATGCACCCGCGCCACTGAAAACAGTTATGAGGCACGTCACCAAAAATGGCAGGTCATTGGCTCTTAGCGTCCACAGGACCCCAACCAAGCTGTCTACACCCCTCTCAAGCCAACACACAAAGACTTGATAGACTGATGCTAGACTATGATTTGAGCACTACAAACTCTGCACTCCTATGTCAGCTAACATAGTCTGTCTAGAAAGACAGTGACAGCGTAACAGATGCCATAGCCACCTTACTCCGTGTAGCTTCGCACCCTCACTGACTGACTTGCCCTCAATACTGTCGATTCTACGCCTAACCTGAATATTGCTCACTATATTACACCACTTAACAAGGGAGGTGAAACGCAAAGATCTGCAGTCAAAGACATTTAGCCTTTTCAAGTATTTCACTGCCTTTGGCTACGTCTCATAGCCACAGACAAAGAAATGCTACTCAGTATACACGTCCTTTGAATGATAGACGTATGCCAAATTTACGCCAGAAATGATGTAAGTTGGCAAACGTCATACAGGTCTTTTGAATCCGTACTGACATTTTGTCAGTAATCAGTCCATTATGGCTGATGCGACTTCTCAAGCAAGTGAAGTGGTCAACATGTTCCACCACTTCATTTCTGTTTATTATTAAGCTAGGTGTCGGTGTAGTCCAGTCTTACAGCATCATATTACGTTTGATGCATGCTGAACATTCAAAGATTTCAGGAGACTCAGCGCCTAGGAGGACAGTGTCATCAGTGTACTCTAGATTCACAAAACTGTTCCCTAGGAATAAGTGAGTCACTAATATGCTTTAGTAAGTCAGAACGATGTGCTTGCTTCTGAATTACAAGGATTTTCAGTTTGCCTGCATCATAAATTAACTAAATGACAGAAGAAAAGTATGTGAGACAGACCGCATTCAGCGCATTCTTTACTACTAGACAAACGATGGCATACAGAATCAAAAGCCATGAAAACAGTTCATCGAAGATAAAGCCATAAAAGAATTAAAGTGATTTGATTTAGGAGAGAGAAATTCATTTAATCTCAATAAGGTAATGTTATTATACAAGTGTACACCATAACAAAAATAATTTCAAACTTAAAAGTGCAGTTTTAAAAACACATGTCGAAAGACTCAAAAAATATAATTTGTTCCAGTGTTAGTGGCTGTATTTCTGACACACATTTCATCCTATTTCAGAATTTTCAACTGGATTTATGTGCATTGCAATGAGAGACTGATTTCCGAATAAGGCCAAATCTCTTTTACCTGACTTCACAACTGCCCAAAAGCTATAATATCCCCCTCATATTATCTCCTCTATACCACTCTAGAAGCGATGGTCAACTCATTGTTCCCCATGCAAGTCCCACTCGAAAGTCTTTCGCCTGATGTCACTCAGTGTTTCCCTAGGAGTATATCCGAACAATTTTCATTTTCTTCTGAGCGTTTAATTGAGCGAGAGGTTTTTGATTGATTTAACATCTTCATCTGTGCCCCCTGTATTTGAGACGGTGCTGTCTACTTAAGTGAAAGGTAACTTCCTTTATACTTTCCCCTTTGTTAGTAATTGGAGCTTGTTGTTGTTCATCGGGTATCTTCATCAGCTCCATCTTCTCGCTGTTCACTTGAATCTTTTTCTTCTCTGCTTCTTCTGTCAACTTATTGATTTTCGCCTTTAGATTTTTGAGTTTTTGTAACATTTAA